AGATGAACCCAACTGAGGAGTTGACTAATTAAACAAATTATAAACACAATTATCAACTGCATATCTCTATTCTTGCATCAGATAGCATGAAAGAGCAACCTAAACTCTTTTTTAGTGTTGTTTGTTTTTGTATTATCCTCTTGGTAATGGTATAGGCAAAGTAATTCTGGAAATTTAGTTATAGGAGTGAACAAATTAATTAATGTCAATGAAGAGTTACTGATCTGGAATGGGGAAATTAAGTAAGAGTCCTTTGATTGATGATTAGAATTGGAGATATTGGTATAGACTTATGATTTCTAAGATAGGTATCTGTGAATGTGCTTGTGTGTGTGTGTGTGTGTGTGTGTACATATGCACAAGTGTGTGAATGTACAAATATGCATATATTTCCTATCTCTTTCCTCAGAAGGGCCAAGAAACAAAGGGAGTCCAGGAACAAGAAACACATCTAGTTATAGGATCTAATGCCATTATTATTATTATTAAGTTCCAGTATTCCTCAGAGAGGTGACTGATTCCAGGGCTGGGGCAGTATAGACTTAATGTGGACTTGGAGCAATTTTTATATCAGAAAATTAAGAAGGTCCCAAAGCAATTGTGGGAATATGTCACAAGGACCCAGGGAATAGCTTGAAGGGACTCAATGGCAAAATATGGAAAATTTTGAGACAATTGAATAATAAGCTCTTGACCTGAAAAATCAGGAGTTCATGCATTTGTATTGATAATACACTAATAAATGAGGAAGAAGAGCCTTGTTTCAAATAATAAATGCCAAAGTTCAAATTCAAAGGATCATCATTCTGCAAGCATCCTCATAAAGATTATTTCAAGCAAAAAAAAAAAAAATCACTGATACCTTTAAAGAGGGAGAGCACATTTGCTGAAAAGCAGGATGGTTGCATGCCTTAATGTATTCCCAAAGATTGCATATTGCTAGGAAAACAAAAAACAGCAATTGTAAAGTGGAAATTTCTAACAAATTAGCACACACATTGAAGTATTTTTTTTTAATTTATTGATTTATTTATATAGAACTGGGGTACAGGCCAGAGATGCGGAGGGTGAGAGGATTCACCAGAGACAGAGCGGGGAGCAGAATAGGCAGATGGAGGAAGTACACTGCTGAGGGGAGCAGCGGGCGGGTCAGGAGAGGTCTGCCGGGCCATGTGGATCTCCTCCGGCAGGCGGGGATCGAACTCATGCCGAAGTGGCTTTAGCTTCTTAGTGCAGTGTTAACCTGCTGTGCCACCAGGGAGGGCCACATTGAAGTATTTAATGGGGAAGAACTATACTGTGTTCAACTTTCTCAGGAATGATTCCAAAAAAAAAGGAATTACTAAAAAAAAAAAACAGTTTGGGTAAAATGTTAGAAATAGAGGAAGGTGGGTACAGGATATATAGGTGTTTTTGTACTACTCTTGCAACAGTTCCATTTAATATGATCTGCCAATTTAAAAAAGCGAGTACACAAATGGCATTGCTTCAGCACCCTGTAAGTAAAGGCAAGGGCCACAAATAATTGGACAAGCCAGAAAACATCTTAACAGTCACATTTCCATCTTGTCCTTTGTCTTTCTCTGAATGAGGGACAGATGTGGGGGCATTTTCCATAAAGCTAAAGAAATGATGATGCATCTGATTCAAACAGTTCCATAAAATAGGCTCCATCACACACTTAGTAATGCTAGGAGTATATGTCCTCAAAAATGGGAAATTCTTACACTGCAATCTTTTAAAAGTCACACATTCAACGCTACACAAGATGGATTACAAGAACAAAATCACTTCCCTATAGACAGACTTTTTCAACTAAATTAATATTTCAAAGCATAAAGTTAGTACATGAATCTCTTCCAAATTTCCTTTGAAACGTTAAAATATCCATATTGAGCAGAGTAAAAACCCATGAAGCCAAATTCCACTTTCAGTTATGAGATGCTCATCAAAAATCTTTGTAAGACATAAAAACGAGGACTTCTAAACAGTGAGTTGAGGGGCGATGGTGAAAAGGGGACGATGGGAAACACTGGCACCCTAAACTGTCCATAATTTCGAGAAGCAGAAAGCTTCTGTGGATGATTTTGAATTGAAATTTGTTCACGTAGATTTCTAGGCTACATATGTGCATGATTCTTTATTAAAAAGTTCCTGGAATTCGGCCCTCCCTGGTGGCGCAGCGGGTTAAAGCACAGCACTGAGAAGCTAAAGTCACTTCAGCATGAGTTCGATTCCCGCCTGCCCGGAGGTGACCACATGGCGCGGCAGACCTCTCCTGACCCGCCTGCTGCTCCCCTCAGCAGTGTACTTCGTGGATCTCCCTGTTCTGTTCCCCACTCTGTCTCTGGTGAAGCCTCTCACCGCCCCTGAGCCTTTACCCCAGTTCTGTATGAATAAATAAATAAATCTTTAAAAAAAAAAAAAGTTCCTGGAATTCACCACGTTAAATCTGAAAACACAAATTCTGTTATAGCTCATTTTTTTTTTTTAAAGATTCATTTATTTATTCATACAGAACTGGGGTACAGGCCAGAGATACGGAGGGTGAGAGGATTCACCAGAGACAGAGCGGGGAGCAGAACAGGCAGATGGAGGAAGTACACTGCTGAGGGGAGCAGCGGGCCGGCTAGGAGAGGTCTGCCACGCCATGTGTATTTCCTCCGGGGCAGGCAGGAATCGAACTCATGCGTAAGTGGCTTAAGCCTCTTAGTGCTGTGCTTTAGCCCGCTGCGCCACCAGGGAGGGCCTATAGCTCACTATTTTTAAAAATGTCTTTGAGGTTTGCTTCTTTGGTTTTTATGTTTTCTGAAACTGCTTCTCATCTGCATGTTCTTCTCATCTTAGGTCTCCAGGATGCGTCTTAGTGTTTCATACATCTTCTCATAGTCATACTTACTTCTTTCCTTTATGTTATGAATATGCTATTTGATTCAGCAGCCTAAATTATTTTTAATCTGTGGCTATGACTCTCTCCTGTGGTTCTTAAAATCTCAAATCAATTTTATTTCACTTTCTAGAAACTTTTCTGTTCTCAAGTTTTCTCATTTTGTACATATTTGTACATACATGTTATATACAAGCAATATATATATTGTTTAATTGCTATTCAAACTATGTCTTTAAGCTACCACCTTGTCTTAAAAGACTTGGCATCTACCATTGCCTTTGGATAACATGTAAGTTGGGTTTGCTAAGCACCTGAGTGTCTTAAAGTGTCTTTTCTTTTGCAGTGGTGAAGTGGCAGGCAAGTTTGGTTGGCCAGAGCTTCAAGCCATCTGGTGGGAAGGCTCTGTGTTCTGAATAGTCTGCTGGAAGATGCTTTACCCAGCAACACGACAACTTCGTACTGGAACAGATGGCAACAGCCAGAGTCTTAGACAGCTATTGTGACATGATTGTTTTAGAAGACTAGAAGATAAATGTATCCATATGTAAGATATATAATACACATGACATGCGTGATCTACAAGGTGTGTATATTACATACATATGTGAGTATGTACGCATATCTTCTAATTTCCCTGCTTGATTTCTACTGGTTATTTTCTTTCCCTTTTTGACATTATTAAGCTCCTTATACAACAGGGAGGTCAAGCCTTTGTCTATTCTATGTTTTGTCGGTTGAATGCTTGACGTGTCATAGAAAGTTTTAATTTTTATGCAATCAAATTGCACAATTTTTTTCTTTTATGGTTTCTGAGATTTTCATAATGCTTAAAAAAAATCTTTTTCTTACTCCACAGTTATTTAAATGTTATCTTTGCAAACTTATATCTGATATCTTCATAATTGTGAGTTTTGAGTTCTAATGTTTAATTAATATACAATTGATTTTTATATAAAATAAGAATTCACAGGTACCTGTTCAAGACCACAACTCGAATAACAATAGTTAATCACTATTTATTGTGGCGTTATATTTATTATCTGTTGAGGCTATTCCCAATCACTCACTTTTAGTAGAGATTTCACATTTATTTTTCTACTTGAACTTTGAATCTGACTGGTTTGATAAAAAAACTTCATGATGCTCTTATTATTGACATCAGTTAAAGTTCTAGATTTATAGATTAATTTGGGGAAAACTTACGATGTTTACAATGCTAATTCTTTTTCATCAAGCGAAGTATTGTTAGTCACTTAGTCATGTCCGTTTTTCCTATATGTGAAAAGCTGAGAACTTCCTGATTTTTATTTGTGTAAAACAAAGTAATGGATTTTGGGGGTCGCTTTACTGTAGTTAAGACTCATATATCCTTTTTGATTTTCCATGTACACAAGATATCAATTGCAAAAGAAAATTTTGCCTCAACTTTTGCGATTTTCCCTTTATGTGTAATTACACAGACCAGTGATTCCAGAACAGTCTCAAAGAAAAGAGACAACAGCGTGCGTTCTTACTTCGTATTTCCCACCCTAACTTTACTAGAAATGCCTTAGATTAAGCAAACTTTACCAACTTTCATCAGAGAAACCATGCACTGCTTCTGTGCTTTCCCAGGCTCCTGGTTTCCTCCTTGGCTTCCTTTACCCTTATCTGAAAATTCCCTCAATTTGTTTAAAGAAGAAAAACAAAGTTTTTCATTCATGGTTTTTCATTCAAAAGGAAAAACGGGAGAGGGCGGGGCAAAGGGCAACAGCCAAAGTCAAGGTAAGAAAAAGTTCTTGCCGGGATCTGGCTGTGGAAGTGGCTCAAGTCTCCAGAGTCCCCTGGAGAAGGGCGAACGGGCGCGTGGGGAGGAGTCGGGGCCACCCCCGCTCCCGCCCCCGGTCCTGCGTCGATGCCACCCGCGGAGATGAAATGTGAGCCCGGGTGGCCTGGGACGCCCCCGAAGTGCCGCGGGGAGACAAAGAGACCTCGCCCCCCGCGCGCCCGGCGCCGGCCGGCCCGCGCTCCCATCCCGAGATCCCACCCAGCGCCCTGGGCGGGTCCCCGCCCGACCCCTCTCGGGAGCGCGGCGCTCTCCCTCCCACCGCCCTCCGTCCCCTCCATCCTCCCGGCTGCGCGCCTTCGCTCAGCTCCCAGGCTCCGCCAGCCCGTCTGTCAGGCCGTCTGTCCGTCAGCCCGTCCGTCTGTCCTGGCGCGCAACCGCTGGCCACCGGCTTGGATGGACACGCGGAGGCTGCCCGGGGGTCCAAGGGTCTTGCTTCCGAAGTTGGTCCTGCTCTTTGTCTGCGCAGGTCAGTGAGCCTGGCGGCGGCGCGGGGTTATAGCCTGGGGGCGCTCAGGACCCCTCTGGCGGGCAGCGGGACGGGGTGTGTGTGTGTGTGGGGGGGGCTGTGTCCCCGCGGGGTGGAACGGAGGCTGAGCTGCCACTTTGGCCGGACCTGCGCGCCGTGTCGTTTTGTTCCGTTCCAGCCCTTTAACTTTTCTTTTCCCCTTAGCTTCCTCACCACCCTCCACCCCCTCCTCTTCTCTCCTGTCTTCTCTCGTTTTTTCTTCTTTAGGAGATGACTCAAGCGGTCATTGGATGCTTTCAGTGCAAGGTATCATGCGAGGAATACATTCTAGAATCTACTTTGCTTGGTTTTCTTTAGTGCTGCTTAACTCAGGTCGCATCGCCTACCCCTCTTAGTGGTTATTCTTAGTGTGAATTGCCAGTAATTGATGAAGTAAAGCAGTTGCCTAGTTTGTGACTGATGTGGAGTCTAACGCAGTCTTTCACTGGTGATTCCTGTGTAAAGTTAACCACACAGGTGGTTTTGCATATGTTTGCATTCACAGGCCAACATAGGCAAAGTTCTTTGATTTTTTTTGTTATATATAATTTAAAATATATTATATATATATATATATATATATACACACACACACACACACACACACATATAAACACCATTCTTCATTTTGTACAGTTTTCCATCTCAGCTGTAGTCCCCTTGAACTTCCCATCACCACTTCACCCCTGTGCCATCACCATAGTCCTGTGCACTCCTGGGGCCCCAGTTCTCATTCTCTTCCCTTCTCCACCCTGTAGAATGTCTCTGGTTTATAGTTGTTTGTTGGTTTTCATTTTTACTTTATTATAACTTTTTTCCTGATACCTTACAATCCTGCTATGAGTGAATGCATCCAGTATTTTTGTTTTTGAAACACTTTCATGCCTCTCATTATGTCTACTGTACATTGTACTTGGTTTCTGTATAGCCCTGTGATTTACCTACTTATAAAAATACTGCCGCTGAAATGCAGAAATACTTCAACACTTACCTGAACATCAAAATAGTTTAATTTCTCATCCAAACTTGCCTAAAACCAGCAAAAACAGCTGCTTATTAAAATATAAATTAGTGGCTGTCTACGTGTTATTTTAAAAGACGCTTTCTTGTAGGGAAATGTGAACTTTCAAAATACAGAAATTCACAAAAGTGGGAAAAGTCCTTCTTATTTAATGAGTCCACATTCTAATTTGTTTACAATATTTACCTTGTGTAAGTTTTTTCAGAATTTGAGGGACTCACTGAATCAATGACACTCATATTATCAATAATTTTACATTAAAATCTATCAATTCATTGAAGCAATGGTAATTCTTTCTACCTCCTCTGTTTCTCAAAAGACAAAAATCAGAACGTAGAACGCAGCGGATTAAACACTAATAGCCTCACACATCCTTACTGAACCAGGCCACAGAACAATCTTTTCTTGTTCCGTTCCCTAGTTTTTTCCCAAGTCAAGCCGAAAACTTCCTTCCCTCCAGTTGCCTTAGTGCCAGGAACATAACCCCCAGATCCAGGAAATCCAGAAAACCAGCAAAGCTGGCCACACAAGGTTGATTAGAACGTTCTCGCTCCACTTACTCCTCTTCTCTCCAACCTTCCCTAGTAGGCCTCAGCAAGAATGGCAAGCTGGCACTTGGTTGCCTTAGCGTCTTGTATAAGAAAAGTTGAGTTAATGTATGCTTTAATATTAATTCCTGAATTCTTCACTTCAGAGACCTTTTCAGGCCTTTTGCATCCACTCAACTAGTGAGTCCTGAAGCTGTTCTGAGTTTTACCTGGCTGGTAAGGTGTGTGCCCACTACTCCACTGTATCAAACAGTTGGTCATGAGAGTCTTTGGTGCCTAACTCAGAAGTCTTTACTGGGGAACTTAGGGCTGAAGGTGATATCTGTTTTGTGAGGATCATATTTTCCGAGACTAATCAAAATGCCCGACCTATAAGAGGAGCTCAATAAATATTTGCTCAGAAAAATTGAGGAGGATGTTTAGAAACAAGATGTTTGAGGGGCAGCGAAGCCTTGGATTTGAGTGACTAGAATAGGATATAGCATGAAGAAAGGCAAAAATCATGAGCTGTCTGTAAGTGAAACAGGTAATTCCGTTTGCTTGAATCTGAGAAATATGGCTAGTTTTGAGAATTGGGGTTAGTTGGGAGAACACTGCAGAAATAAAAATAGTTCAAATGTTCTGGTAAATGAATTACTTTCTTTGGGATAAAGCCCACGGAAATGCACTTTCTGTAATCAGAATTATTTTTCCCAAAGTAAGTGCATTAAACTTGGTTCCATTTGTTAAGGAAGTAAGGGCATATTTTCTCTACCTAAAGCATTGCCTATATGCAGACTCACATTTGGAAAGAGCCCCATTGAAGTATTTAGATTATTTATCCACTCCCACTGCAGCCTACAAAGACAGGATTTGGCCAAGGTTTTGCTTTCCTGGCTTCAGTTAGTGACTTCTGTCCCCTCCCTTTCCTTCCTCTCTTATCCTTAGTTGTGGCAGAGCGACTGCTGGAGCCAGACTTCGCTTTTCCTGCACTACACTTTCCTCAAGGTGGGGTGGGGGGTTTTGTGTGGGTCATGCCTTAAGTTAACATCTTTGATGAGAGCTTGAATAGGTCCATTCTCAAGGTTACTAGCTTGAATACTGAGTTGGGCCCTCCCTGGTGGCGCAACAGGTTAGGATGCAGAACTGTAGTCACTTCAGTGCAAGTTTGATCCCTGGCCCCGGAGTTACCACATGGCACGGCAGACCCCTCCTGACCTGCCCGCTGCTCCCCTCAGCAGTGTACTTTCTCCCTGTTCCACTCCCCATTCTGTCTCTGATGAAGCCTCTCACCCCTTCACCTCTGGCTTGTACTCCAGTTCTGTATGAATAAATTAAATCTTTTTTTTTTTTAAAGTAATATGATTTATCTTGAGGACAATTTGAAATGGCCCACTCTTTTTTTCTGTGATAATACTGTATTCTTCTCACTCTTCCAAACTCTGATCTTCATAGAAATAGTCACAAAAAAACTAATGTATCAATTGACTCTGAAGTTTGGTTGAATCTTCAACTTGGAACTAGGATTGAGAATGGACTTGAGGTACTATTAAATCTGCACTTTTATTCATTTAATTCTGGGAAGTAGACAGTATTGGGAAATGCCATAAAGATAATGAACAATAAGTGACATGAACTAGATATTTGTTACAGGTAAAATCTAGCTTCTTGGCTACCAGATTTGGGGCTTGGTTTCCTGTAGGATCAGCACAAAGTGTTTTGATAACTACCAGTTCATATAATACCAGTAATTGGAGTAGAATAGTAGTAAATGAATCTTGAATATTTATGGGGGGGTTAGTAAGATGTTACTCTCCTGGTCATCTTTCAAATGGCCTTCCATGAAGCTACTCACACACTGGCACACTAGTTGTCCTGCTCCAACAGAATAGTTGAGAGATAAAGCTTCTTGCAGTTATCTCAAAGTTTTTTTTTTTTTTTACAGAATTGGGGTACAGGCCAGAGATGTGGAGGGTGAGAGGATTCACCAGGGACAGAGTGGGGAGCAGAACAGGCAGATGGAGGAAGTACACTGCTGAGGAAAGCAGCGGGTGGGTCAGGAGAGGTCTGCCACGCCATGTGGATCTCCTCTGGGGCAAGCGGGAATCGAACTCATGCGGAAGTGGCTTAAGCTTCTTAGTGCGGTGCTTTAACCCGCTGCGCCACCAGGGAGGGCCATCAAAGGTTTTTAAGAGCATAAAACAAACCATCCCTCTAAACCATTGAGAAAATGGACCAGTCTAATTATTTCAGTCATTAAATTGCACTAAAAATTAGAGCTAAATAAGTCCCCTGGGAAAATGTAAAATAAATATCTTTAATAAAGTGTCATGTATTATAAAAAAAAATTGGTTGCCAATAAATCATTAAATTGTGCTTCTGTCTTCAAAATGTATAAGTGGATTTAAGTAGAGGTACTACATCTTACAAAGGTAATTTTCCCACTCATTTCTTCTTGATCACATTCACTGTAAAAAAATAATTTTGGCATGGAGATGATTTAAAAGCACAATCTAAATTTTCTTTCTAGACAAATCAATTAATTACCTGGCATGCAGACATAAACAGCTTGCACTTTTATGACTGACAGGAAAGCAAAAGCCTTACATAATTTAGACACTAGTTGACGTTATCTTGAGAGATTGAGCTGGAAACGACTTATTTAGTGTTTCTTGATTATATAATTTGAAATATCAAGCTATCTATCATGTTGATAGTCACATACCAAAAGTCACATGTCTTTTTAAATCAGAAATTACTGTCTGTCCCCTCTTAGGGTGTTTCCTAGCTTACTGACTTTTAAATCTGACATTAAATAAACTTTTAGTTATTTACAAGTTAATTCTTTTGGGGGACTTCTTTCTACTACTAATTCAAACCTTCTACTCCAAGTGGATTGAGAGACTGTGTAGACTTGTTTGTGTTACCATATGCATACAAATTAATTATGAAGGCAGAAAATCATAGGGAAAGAAAACCATGCAGTACGGTCACAGAAAATAGTTATTATTTTAAAAGTATCCCTATTTGATAATATCCATGTCAATAACACTTTTCATCAAATGAAGTCAAAAGAATTTTTATCATTTAAAAATTATTAGAAGGGGTCCTCCTTGGTGGCGCAACAGGTTAGGATGCAGCACTGCAAGCTAGCTGCAGCCGCTTCAGTATGAGTTCAATCTCCAGCCCCAGAGGTGACCCGCCTGGCACACAGACCTCCCCTATCTCACTCACTGCTCCCTTCAGCAATGTACTTTATCGATTTGCCTGTTCTGCTCCCCACTCTGTCTCTGGTGAATCCTCCCACCGCCCCTGAACCTGTAGCCTGTACCCCAGTTCTGTATGCACAAATAAATACATCTTTTAAAAATAGATATTAGAAAAACTCTATTGACAAATTAAGAATGAATACTTGATTCATCCCTTTGTTCCTTCATTATCTCAGCCAACCAACTCTGACCACCAATTATGGTGTGTCGATGTGTAGGAGATTCCAAGAAAGGTCTCTGCCTTGTCTACGTTCATGTCAACTGGGAAGAACGAACAATGCACAATAGATGATTACACATGTACTAGAATTCTGAATGTCAAAAGAAAATCTGAATGCACTACAGGAGTTGTCACTGACGAAGCTAGGTGTGAAACAGAATTATGTGAGCTATAACCACATTTCGATCATTCTTTTGCAGCTGATTGCCTTGCTCAGTGTGGCAAAGACTGTAGATCATACTGCTGTGATGGAACCACACCCTACTGTTGCTCCTACTATGCCTATATTGGGAATATCCTTTCGTGAGTACTGGTTACATTTGATAATATTGATGTTCTTTCTCATGTTCAGTTATGTTTTCAAAAAGAGCAAAGTTATAGGTATAGAGGCGAGGCATTGAAGTCTGGCTGTTGACAGCCAGCGTTAGTGGAGCTCTTAATACACATCACTATCTAGAGTATTATATTATTTGACAACACAAGCCAATTACTATACAATATACAGTGCCTTTATTATAAGGAATGTGCTATATATTGTGCAAATTATGTAATAGAAGAGAATTTCTTTTAACTCCCTTCTAATAAAGGCACTGTGTATTGTATATATAAATATTATGACCTTATGCATATTCTTGATCCTTTTTTCATGTTCCACATTCTGGTTTTGTCTGCTTTGTTGAAGAATTTGTAAGTTAGAATTTGTCATTTAATTATAAACAGTTTATTTTGCTCTCTGTGTTTTTGTCTAACTCATTCAGGAAATGTCTAGACTAAAGAGGCATAAATAAAAAAACAGTTGAGATGTAAAATGTCAATTTTTCTACATAACACATCTAAAGCAACTTTAGGAAATAAAAAAGGTTAGGCATTAACCATGTAAAGTGATAGCTAACTGCAAAAACAAACTGCAAAAGCAATCAACTGGATAAATAGATAAATCAACTGGATAAATAGTTTTTCCATAACTAAGCAGGAGTTTATCTTAGAGATGTTTCTGGACAAAGGGAAATGAAGGAGAGACACTGCTCTCAAGCCTGTACCTTCAAAAGTTGCAATTCAGTTTCTCTACATACACTTTCAAATTGAAAACTAAAACGAAGAGGATTGCAAGTGTTAAAGAGTTCCCTCCTTAGTCGCAACAGTTTTCTGACTGCAAGAGAACAGGACCTTCTGTCTTCCTTAGTTTTTTTTTTTTTTTTTTTTCCTCAGGAGAATATCCTGATGATGTCGGAAATATTCTGAGTGGCACAGCTCTGTCTTATGCAGGCTTGGGTGGAACGGGTTAAGATTAGGGTTAAGTAGCCTAAGCCTGGCTGTTTTAGGCATGTGGTCGTTGAGACGGTTAATAACTCATCCTGTTTCCTGGAACTAGAAAACCTGGTGCCACATAGACTTTCTAGAGTCAAAACTGAGGATGGTCTTAGAGATTGTGTCTCTCTGAAGAAGACAAAAAGGCTTGTATTCAAGATACTCTTGAAGAGGACTGCATTTATGTAACAAATGTGGGGCTGTAATCAAGACTGAGAAATGGAATTTAAGCATTCTTTGAAATGCACATGGATTCTAAATAAAACGTTTGCATTTTTTTCTCATGTAACACTTAATGGAAACTATATTGAGCCCCCTTTTTACATTAGAGAGTGGTCAGAATTGTATTTGTGCAATTTGATGAATTTAAAAGACCCAAAATGGTCACATATAACGGTGCCTCACTTTTGAATACTCCGTGCACCCAAAGCAATTTAAAATACATTTACTAAATTCAAAAATGTTTTGGGTGTTCTCAGCATGCCTGAGGCGTCTGTTGCAGGTGGTTGCGTGAGTGGGCTCAGCAGTTGATATGAACTCGAGGGACCTGGGGTCAGAGTGATTCTCTGACTCTCTGCTCTCCCAGCTTCTTGTCCACTAACTACGTGATGACATATGAGTTCCAACTATTTCTCTTAGCTACCTCCACTCTGGTAATTATATATGAAACGCACGATTACTTATTAATCAGAATGCTTAAAAACACTTCCACATTTACAGGTGTACTTTATAGGTTTCATCTATGCAATCAGATTTGCATTTTTAGGATACATATTCAAAGTCATTTGGTTAAAGTAAATTAGCTTAGTTGACATCTTTATCTGGGTTTTAAGATCATGTACTTGTTATGTTTGAAAAAAAAATGCGCTGGGGTGGGAGTGGAGTGGGGAGGGAAACACAGAATTATATTTCAGGCATTTTTAACTGAAGTTTCAGTTTAAAATAGAAACCACTAAAGTAAATCCTTAGCTGAACAATTCTTCAGGAGAAAAGGGACTTTAAAATGTTTTCCCAACTGGATAAAGGAGAATACATTTTCAGGATTTCCACTTATTGTTTAAGATTTGAAAAGAGTTTTTAACTCCACCCAAAGGTTTTTTTTTTTGAGGCTTGGGGTGGGTGTTGGGGGTGGTGGTGAAGAGATAGAAAAAAAAAAATCACTCCATGAATGCTTACAAAAGTTTTTTCATGCCCTTGCTTTCAAATATTGCTATTTTGAAACTCATAAACTATGTCTCTTTTCGTCTAAGCATCCAAGCACATTTTTAGTAAAATCATTTTAATTATCTTAGTAGAAAATTAAATCTTTGTGGCTATCAGAGAAGTAATAAGGAAAAAAGCAATAAGCACAATGGAATGTTATGTATCCTAAATGAATAATTTTATAAATTGGTTATAATTTGGTTTCTATTTATGCTTGTATTCAACATAGAAAACGTCTTAGTTCACTTTAAACTGAACTAGAAAGACTACAAAATACAATTTGTCTCCATGTAAACTGTTGATAAACTAGTAAAGTAAGGTACACTTGACCCTCCTATTAAGGTCTGTTCTGGGTCATCCCCAAAATAATCAGAGTGGAAATGCTTAGTCTTTACAATGTCCAACTATCCCTTATGTTGTCCACTAAGACTTATTTTTAAAAGGAGTGAGCTATAACTTCTAGTTTACTTTTTCATTGAAAAAGACTTATTTTACTCAGATCCTTCATTTTAAGGTATTTTTTTAATTGCAAGTAGGAATTTGTTTTGCAAATAAACTCAAACTTCCTCCCTTCTTTTTAAAATTTTAATTATGAAATATAAAATCTACATGTGTCTCATGAACAAATTTTAAAATTAACCATAAAAATGCATTTTCACTTGCTTTTTTGGTCATTATGCTCATAGGTTCTGACTTCAACCTAGAAAAAATAATAGCGTTTTCCAGAATTTACAAATAATTTTTATAGGTGTCAGCTAACAGTAGGAGATAGTTTAGCTATTTCCGTATACATATTGGCATAGTGAGTGTCGCCTTTGCATCACTGGTAGGCCCTGGAATCCAAAGATGAACAAATAATGAAACTTGACCTCTAGGAGTCTATAATAATAAGAGCAAAGCATGTAAACACATAATTTAATTCAATGAGATGATCTGTGTGTTATTGTGGAAAGACAGGAAAAGAAAAAACAGCCTCTGTGTGTGCTCTAACAAGACTTTTAGAGGAAGCCTCATAAACATGAAATAGGAACAGAGTTTTGGAGGGTAGATATTCATACAACTGGATAGTGAAGAAAGGGAAGTACATTCCAGACAGAGAGACTCTTACAAAGGCAAAGATAGAAAAAAGGAAATGACAGCTGGGGAAAAATCCATGTTGTTCTCTGTTGCTAGAGGGGAGGGTGATCACGCGGATGTAGAAGTGAGTATGTAAAACAAATGGTAGGGACTTGTTTTATATACTTTTTTTTAAAGATTTATTTATTTATGCATACGGAACTGGGGTACAGGCTAGAGGTGCAGGGGCGGTGAGAGGATTCACCAGAGACAGAGTAGGGAGCAGAACAGGCAGATCGAGGAAGTACACTGCTGAGGGGAGCAGCGGGCGGGTCAGGAGAGGTCTGCCGCACCATGTGGTCACCTCCGGGGCAGGCAGGAATCGAACTCATGCGGAAGTGGCTTTAGCTTCTTAGTGCTGTGCTTTAACCTGCTGTGCACCAGGGAGGGCCTGTTTTATATACTTTTATGGATGGATTTTACATGCCTAACAACACTAAAAGAAGATAATTGAGTGTTTTTTCTCAAAACAAGAGAGCTGGCTTTACCCAGAAAGAACATTTTTTCAGACCACTTTTTTAAGACAAGGGCCAAAGGTGAGGCAGGGCCAAATGAAGAATATCTTTATTTATATCTCGGGAAAAAGACTTAGAACTGAAAACTTTCAAATGTTCCACTATTTAAAGCCGTTTATGACAGAATATGACCTTGGAATTATTGTTCCTTTTTTTTTTCCCTTTGGCATAGTAGAACTGGGGTATAGGTCAGAAGTGTGGGGTGGGGGTGAGGAGCTTCGCCAGAAACAGAGTGGGGAGCAGAACAGGTGGATCTACTGAAATACACTGCTGAGGGGAGCAGAGGGGAGACAGGCGAGGTCTGCTGCAGCATGTGGGTCAGCTCCCTGGCTGAGGATCAAACTTAGCCCAGGATATAATGGTAATAACATTGAGACTTAACCCGTAAGCCACCAGGGAGTCCCTATTTCTCCACTGTTGAGAGTTTTGATTAGGAGGGCCACTACCTAAGATTAGAGATGTCACTCGGTTTACAAATGAAAATTAGGCTAATTCAAGAAATAAACAATTTCCCATTGAATTGTCAGCCATTTCATTCTGAAATGCCTCTCCACGGAAAGATAAACATTGGTGATGAATATGGAAAGAGATAATTCAATTTTTGCAGCTGCTGAAGTTTAATTGGCATTCCCCAGAGAGAATCCAATATAAAGATGTGGCTCATAGAGTCTCCTTTAGAATCTGGTAGAATCGCAAGGATGGAGAATACAATTGAGTGGTGTGTTACCATTACTGAATGGAACAAATTGAAGACAGGATTTTACTAAAAAGAAGGTAAACTGCTGTGTAAGACAATGAGTGTACAGTATAAAAAGGAAACAGAGAATGACTAGTTTGGGCATTGTGAGCCAGATACGATTTGATTCTTTACTCAGAAGTAGGTTTTGGCTTTTCAGTTTACTTTTGTAAAATGCAGGTCTGTCGAAGGATTCTTGAGAGTCCTGTCTGGCCAACTCAAAACCTGCATGGAGAAAAAAAATCAAGGATAATGGAGATCCTGGTGGGATAAAGTTTCCTTTCTTCTCAATGAAATGTGAAAGATGTATTGTTTGCAGTTTTGCAAAGACACCTAATAAATATCACAACTGTGACTTTAGCACCATGTTATGCATGAAAGCAAAACTGAGTTAAAAGATAAAGGTTTATTATTTTCAGATGGCA